CGGGAGCGCTCGGTCTGGTGCTGTCGCGGAGCGCGGTGTCCCCGGTCGCGATGCTTCGTCGGAAGCCGACGCGGCTGGAGCTGAAGCTGGACGACATCGAGGAGTTCGAGAGCGTCCGGAAGGAGCTGGAGGTGCGCTGGGGGCCGGGCGCAGGGGGCTCGGGCCGCCCCCCGCCCTGACCGGCCCGTTCCCCCCCAGAGCCGCAGGAAGCAGCGGGACGAGGCGGAAGCGGCGGCGGGCGGCGAGGAGGCGGCGGCGATCGGAGCGCTGGGGACGGAGCACAAGAGCCGCGAGCAGCTCATCAATGACCGCATCGGGTACAAACCACAGCCCAAGGCCGGCGGCCGCACCGCGCACTTCGGCACCTTCGAGTTCTGACGGGGGCTGCCCCGGGACCCCCGGGACCCCCAGTCCCGCCGAGCCGCGGGGGCCGCGCAGGACGGGCCGAGCCGTCCCCGCTCTGAGCTGTTACTTTTTTCTTTTTTAAGTTTGGTTAACACGCCCGTGAACGCCCCTTGGCCGAGCGTTTTGTTTTAAATAAACACTTTTTCTTTTTTTTTTTAAGAAAACTTTAATACGCCCAGGAGCTGCTGTAAATGGCTGCAGTGACCGTGCAGGCAGGGATGGGTATCCCTGGGACCACCYGTTCCCTGTACCGATGAGCACGGGGGTAAAACACTGTGGGAGGATCTTCTGGGATCGTGATTTGGTGATCTTAAAGTAGGTGGAGAGTGTCCAGCTGAACCTCCAGCCCACAGATTAGGTCCTGCAAGTGTCTGATGAGTATTTTGGGATAGAGGCAGCAGAGGCACAGCTCTGACTGCCTCAGGCTGCTTCCAGGCATTGCTCTGCCCTTTCCCAAGGCAGCCAGGAAAGAATTCCCCATGCCTGTTAAATCACCCAGTCCCAAATACATCCCAGAGCTGCTTCCCAGTCCGTGTCACAGCTGGGATGTGGTTTGGGCCTTGAGCAGGGAATGGCTGCAGTCCTGGATGATGTACTGGGCAYGTGGAAGTGGAATAATATCCCCCATTTCTGACCCATTTTTCCTTTACACTTCCCTGTTCCACCTCCATTCAGCCCTGCTGAGTGTCACCCCAGCTGCCCTGGTTTGTCACCCTTGGAGTGGAGCTTCAGGGCTGTTTGATGCTTGGATCAAAGGTCACCTAATAGTTCCTTATGGATGGTGTCACTGAAAAGGCCAAAGGCACATTGATTTCTTCAGCAGGTCCCTGGATTTACTTATCCTCATCAGCTGCCTGGGCAGGGTGAGGTAAGATTTGGGGCAGAGCCCACCCAGGAGGAGTTTGKCACACGATGGGGTGAGCTGAAGAAAGCAACTTAAAAATCTGGTGTTTAGGGAACTCTGCTCCCTGCAGCCTGGGAAGGAGCAGGGCAGGCTGCCACAGCCCTGGGCCTAYACCAGGACACCTGCAGGGAATTTGGGAACTAGAGGTTTTCCCTGCCTCTGGCCAGGGCTGTTTCCTGCCATCTTCAGAACAACAGGTTCTGTTTTTTTCAGTGTCAATGCTCCAAACTAGACTTCAGTAAAATTCAGGCTTCATGTGTTGTAGGTACATCACATTTCAGGTCAGGCTGGGAAAATGCATGGAACTTCAAACTTTTCSAACTTGGGAAAGAGCCCAAGCCTGGCCTAGAAAAGAGCTTCTTTTCCTGTCTTAACACGACATAAAACGATCAGGGATTGCTCCCTGATTGATCAGGGATTCCCAGCAGGCCTCAGCTCTAAGAGGGCAAGACCTCAGGAGCTCCCTAAAACTCCTCTCCCTGACTCTTCCCTCTCTGGGGCAGGCAGATTTGGAAAGCACCAATTTCTCTTTCCATCCCTCCCCACACCTGCAAAGTGTGACTGGGCTGGAACAAAGAGAAACTTAACAGTGAATTCCCACATTCCCATTCCAGCAGCTTCAGGGTGCATTCCTTGGAGCTGGGGAGGCCCAGAGGATGCTGCTCCTCACCTGAACAGGTGCTGGGCCCTGCTGTTCCTTTTGAGGGTTAMACTGAGGATTGTTTCCAAAATGCACCCCCACCACAGTAAAATGCAATCTATTTTATTGGTTAATTATGTACAGAGATTTCTTGATATTCACAGTAACATCAGACAAGTTACCGCCACAAAGAGCAAGAGTAAAAACAAAACTGACAGTCCACTGTAAACAAAACTAGAAATCCTGCTGGATTGGGTGGGACTGGCTCCAGACAAACGCAAAAGGCACTCAAAGAAAAGCAACAAAAGCCCACTGAGGGACACAGCCWGGATGCTCTGTGCTCCCTCCTCAATGATAATCCAGAGGCACAGTGTGTGGAGAGCAAACATCAGGGCACAGGCACAGGATGTCACCCGAAGCAGGACATCACAACCAAGCATGCTACGTGTGTGTCAACACAGGAATTTAATGTACCCAAGTCTCGTAATCCTTAGAGCCCTCCTCTCTCTGTGTTACCAGGACAATTTCAAATTCAGCACAGGGGCTGAGGCTGCCCAGAGCTGYCGGCAGATCCCATCCAGGGGGAGGTCAGGCTCTGCTCAGGCTCTGCCACAGCATGAAGCAACCCGGGCTGAGAACACTGTGGTTGCATCTGATGGCAAGGCAGGGGAGGACAGGGGGAGCTTGGTGGCTTCTCTAGATTGTCACATTGAACTAAGGACAGCACAGCCAAGGCAGGCAGGGAGCAGTCTGAACACAGCCCTTGGTCAGCTRTGCCTCGGGGAGCTCAGGAGCAGAGTAGACACAGCCTCTCCCTGCTTTCCTCAGCCACTTCTCACCTTCCCTGGGCAGCCCACGGTGCTCAAACCCCCCCCTCGTGCAGGCTGTGGGAGAGCTGCTCATGCCCAGATGAGCCCTGCTAGGGCAGTGTCCCTTCCCTGTGCACACTGGGGAAAGCTGTGTGTCCTCTATGGGGAGAGCAAAGGCAGGAGATAAGCCTTGGAAGCTCATCCTGGGGAGAAACAATTCCAGGGGCACAGGTGGTACATGTAGAACGAGGCAGAAAAGCTTAGCAAGAACCAGACTGACACTGCACAAGCCACGGGCTGATCTCCAAGTCATCCATCAGAAAATTCAAGTCTGGTCACTTGGACACACAGAAAGGTGGCTRAAAGGTGACATCAAGATCAGGCCACGCAGCTTCTGTTCCAAAGAAAGACACAGCAAGAGGTATATGAGGTGACCAGTGTCACCACACAAAGCCACTGCTCACTGCACCCTGTGATTTTAATGGCAAGAAGTCCAGCCCCTTCCAAGGAAAACCAATGGCAGCAACGGCAACGCCACCCTGAGCTCCTTCAGGGCTCGAGCCCTGCGGTGCAAATCTTCTACATCAACCACCATCTCCAGCTTCTAACAGCTCCAGTCTCCTCTGACAAACACTCAATTTCCTCTCAGTTCCAGGAGTGGGAAAGGATTGTCCATTTTCTCTTCCAAACACTAACATTCCTCAGCTCCCCAGGGAWGGGGAGGGTCAGGCTTCCCCTCCCATGATTGCACATAGGGCACAGGAAAGTTTTACCTTTGTGACAGGTGCAGAGAGGGCACCAGTAGGTTCTGTCACAGACAGAGCTCCCTTCAGACTGGGGAAGGAAGCACTTTTCCCGTCTCAGCAGGAGGTGGCTGGAACTTTTCAATGAAAATAACTGCCTCTTTCACCCAGATGTGAATTTGCTACAGCAAGCAGCTATTTAGGAACCTAAACCTGCTTTTAACTCAGCTCCTTTTATTGTCTATTAGCACTGTCCAGAGAAAACAAGATGTCCAAACAAACAGTTGGCATCAACCCAGAAGRGCTGACTTTGGGAGGTGCAATTCAWGTCCTGGRAGCAGCAGTACTGATTTCCTTACAGGGGGTGGTAGGGTGAGGTGGGACAGCAGCACCGTGGAGCACCCAGGCACAGAGGGGTGGCCTCACCCTCTAAGGCTCTGGGGCTAAAAACTCTCATTGCAAAGATCAGCTTTYCTCACACAGCTGCTGCCAGCAGTCACCAGCAGCATCTCCAGAGGAAAAAACTGTCCTGTGTGTGCCCAGAGGTTTTATCCCAGCAGGATTGCCTTTTCTCATGGCATGTCTCAGACACCAGTCCCAGTGTGAAAGTGGTGCCTGTTCTCAGTGCCCTTCTCAAATCCTCACTGTCTTCTCTTCCAGCAGTTACAGGCACAAACTGGGCAAGCTGGGTAGAGTGAGGACTCCAGCTCTGCACACTCTGCACAACATTCCTCAYAAAAACCAGCAGTTTAATATCCAGGTGCTAAACCAGAGCTGCTCCCCAAGCCTGTCCTGGCACCAGGCAGGCAGGAGGGCAGTCCTGCCCCTGTCACAGCCTGTCCTGCCTGTGGGCAGAGCCCACAGCACTGACTGAGTTCTCCCCTGCACCACAGCACCCATCCCCYTTGGCACTGAGAATCTGCACCTCCAGCATGGGCACAGTATTATTAAGACAAAGAGGAGTCATCTGGGTCAGGAATACTTTTTTATCAGTCCATGCTACTGTAGTCCTATGTTTTCATCCTCCTCTTTCCCAATCTCTTGTTAACAGGAATGTGATTGTTTTCCCCCTTCACTTCCATCCAGGACAACCCTCTTCAGCCACTTTAACTTTAGTGTCATGAAATCATTATTTAGCTCTTGCCTCATTTACAGAGCCAGTTCTAGTAAGCCAAAGTTTAGCTCTAGTTCCATCCAGGTGCAGTTCCACATGAAGTACCTGCGGGTTCAATGGTTTATTTAGAATCCTTCTGCCCTGWAAATACAGAACTATTATTCTGCATCTGCTCCATAATTGGGAAAGGAAAGCAGCCAAACTCAAGTGTTCTCCCTGGAGACTGAGTAAAGCTGCTGGATACATCAGATTCACAAATACTCATCATCCTCTGGTGGGCTTGGAGGGCAGGTTCATCCAGCTCCTGAAGCACACAGGTCACATCCTTGGGTCCAAGTCCTCCCTTGCCAGGACACACCTGAGCRTGTCTGATGTGCAGCACCAAATCTTCCCCAGAGGCTGAATCCTACAGCAAAAGGTGTCATTGGCCCCAAAAGCCACAATGCCAGGGCAATCTCCTCCCCTGGCATTATGTACACATTGAAAAACATCAAAATTAAAACAGCCATTTGCACACTATTGGCAACTTTGATGTTTTCCTACTGTTCATTAAACCCTCACTGACGAGCAKTTACAATTTAAAAATAAAATGCTTTTGTTTTCTTTTTAAAATAATAATTTCTACGGTTCTGTCAGCCAACTAATTTCAATCACAGCATAATCTAAGAATAAAGCAAATCCTGGCCAAGAATGGCTGCCACGGACTCTCAAGAGTCAAGGGAGCAGCGTGTCCCAGCTCCTCACATCCCTGCATCCCTCTGGGAACCTGTGGTGAACTCCAGTTGATTTTCTTTGTCATGATTSTTTTGCAGCTTAGGAATGCTCCAGTCCTCGGGGTGGCTGCACTTGCAGGGAGCAGTGGGGTGGAGAGGCCTGTGGGCACATCCAGTGTTAATGGCAGTGCTCTGTGATATCCACCACCACYGCCTTTTTCCAGCTGAAGAAGAAGTATCCGGTGCCCGCTCCCGCTGCCACGGCTATGCAGAGGTACCCGTTGTAGGTCATGAAGATCAGCATGAGGAAGTAGCTGACCACCACTTGGATGATGTGCAGCACGGTCTGCAGCAGGTGGGGCAAGCTCAGCATCTGCTGTCTGTGAACACAAACCCAACCAAGTCAGTGAACACGGGGCAGGTGGGAAACACACAGCCCCAAAGAGAAAGCTGCCAGGACAGCAAGGTGGGTGTAGCATGGCAGAGAAGGTGACACCAGACTGGGCAGGGACTCTTGCATGCAGCTGGCACCTGGAACTGTGSTTTTCCCCACAAAGCAAAGCAAGCACAGAGCTTGCTGGGAGGACACAACTTTTAGCTGAGAAACAGACTTTGCCAAGCTTCTTYTACTGCCCCCATTAAAAAGCAAAATTGTTCCTGCTCTGCACTGAGGCCTTGGCTACTTGTCAGCAAAAGGATCCTGAATGTTTTCTGTTGGGGTCACTGGATGTAACACCCAAACTCTGCTCCTGGGAACTCCCCAGACATGTTCATTACAAAAACCCCAAGCTCATCTGGCTCCTTGCTGCTTTCCTCCTATCCCCATCCTCGAAGGTGCCCAGGTGTGCCCCATCCTCCAGTGCCAAGCAGTGTCCTAGTCTGGAGTCAGGACGCTCTCCAGAGATCAAAATTGGCTGCACAAAGTTTCTTCTGTGCCAGTTTCACCCACAGAGTTTTGCTTTAGAATGCAGTGCAATCCTTACCCCACGGTTTTGTGTGTCTCCATCAGGATGGTGCCATTGGGGCCTGGCACTGGCATGGAGTTATAGCGGATGCTGACTTGGGATTTACGGAGCAGACACTCCCGGGCAATCTTAAGGCCTTCATAAAACATGGCCAGGAAGAAGACGGCCACAAAAGCACCAGCCATTTCTGACAAGAGAGGAAACATTATTGTCTCTGGGCAAGAAAACATGTCAGTAAAGTCACTGTGTCACTGAACAACCCCTTTATGCTGCACTGGCTGTGGCCAGGCTCCATGTGCATGCATGGACAGGTGGGAAATGGGAATTTCATCCACGCACTAGCTGGAATTCCACCCATGAAGCAAAACCAACAATCACCTTTGTTAATAAAAAGCAAATTCTTGAACTCTACAAACATCTTTTTCCTTTCACTCCACAGATGACATTTAAATCAGATTCAGCACAGCATGTTGGTGTGTTTTTAGCACAAGCAACAAGGTAATTCCTGATACATGAATCCTGAAACACCAATTGCAAAGTTTTTGTTTGGACTGCGTAAGACAGTGTTACTAACCTCCAGGAGAATTGATAGTAAGTCCAGAGAACAGCAATGGCACATTCTCACAGCTGAAGTGGAAAGTCATGGCCTGCCCAAAACACAAAGAACACCAAGATGAGCCTGGAGAGCTCATCCCAGGACAGAGCTCAMAGCAAGGTGCAGCAATAGGGTTTGTATCAGAACAAGAACTCAGATCAGTGTATTTGGTCACCACATAAACACCAAAAAACTCTCCAGTCCTGCTGTAACGCACACAAGCAAGACAGGGATGAGATGCTCCAGGTTCCAGCTCCTTCAGGCAGGAGGGCCTGTCCTTCACAGAACTGCAGCTAAATGCCTTCTCCTTGCTTTTGGAGCTCCTTTTCTCCCCAGCAACAGAAGAAGTCAGGGATTGGGGACGTCCCCACAGAGCTCCTGCTTGCCTCCTCATCCCCTCAGGAACTGGGGTGCAGGGCACTTTCCTTTCCCCACGTTGACCTCACTTGTGCTCACACAGGTAAGGGTTGTACAGGTGACTCCTCTGGTCCCATCCTKTACTGTGCAAGCAGTGTTGTCTCCCTGTGGAATTCCCAATCCCATGGGAAACAGAGGCCYAAACACAGCTACCACAAGGAGTACTATATATAAAGCAAGACCACAGCTTCCCCTGGGTGAAAATAAGGGTTCCTGAGCCAGCACAGTGAACACTGTGGGAATGGAAGGCATCAGTGATCCCCAGGCCAGCTGGACRTGATAGAAACTTCCAGGCAAAAAAAGCTTGGCATGTCTTGGGCACAGCTGCACACAGTGTTTTCACATGGGAAGTCCTGACCAAGCAAGAGGAACTTCTCTTTGAACTTCCCTTGTTGCTTAATTAAGGTTATTTGCTGAAGCTCAGAATTATGATTCATTTCAGCATCCATAAGAATCAGCACACACTCATTTTCCCCAGAGCAGAAATTACTGTAAAACAGCTTTTAGAGAGTACTTTCATCTCTTCAATGAATTTAMCATCTTTACATTTAAAACAAAATCCACATGAACCAAAGAACTGCAGCTGAACCTGAGTTACTTAGTGCCAGTGAAGAACAGGAAAACACACACTAAATGTGCTCAGTCTGTTATCTTGAGATGCTGTACCTATTTACTGCCTTTCCTGACAGATTTATTTGCAATATGAACTCAAAATCTTGTGCAATTACTCACAGTTTTCAGCTGCAGGGCAAGGCAGGGTCCTGTAACTATCCAGCAAACACTTGACATTTGTAAAGAAATGACATTTACATGGAAAYAATGGCCCAGGGATGCCAATACTGAGCTGTGAAATTTTGGGAAAAGCTTCACAAGGAGAGCAGTGGCACTGCTGCACTGAGAGCTTCACGTGGGCCATGCCCACCAAGGCTGTTGTAGTGCTCTCCTCTGTTGTGACAGTGGTTGCAGTAGAAGTAGAAGCAGAGATTCTTCWTTCTCTCCTCAGGCACAGAGCTGGYAGACAAACTCCAACTRAAGGTTTGCAAAATCCACTCCCGAGAACACTCTCATTTGAAATGGAAATGTACCCTCTCTCCCCTCCTTTTGATATTTAAACATAAACAAACATGTTTTAACAATCTGAAACTCACTCCAGAAGTATTTAGGAAAAGGAGAAAAAGCTKAAAAAAAGTTCCTAGAACTGGCTACACACAAACACTGATCCTACAGCCATCTCCATGGAAACCCTGGCCAGGATCTCTCCAAAGCCTCAAAGATGCAAGAATGAACAAGTCTGAACCTGTTGGAATSAAAGTCAGCTGCAGCAGCAGGAATCAGAACCAATACAGCCTGACAAAGAGCCCTGGCAGTGCTTTGCTCCCCAAACTGAGTGTGCTCTGAGAGTTCAGGAGGGAAGGGCACAGAGGAGCTCAGCACGGCCCCTCACACTGCGGGGCAATCCTCTCACTGCTGCCTGGGGCTCTCACTGCCAGCCTGCAGAACTCCATCCAGCCGTTTCCTGCAGCAAAACTCTTGCTTTGCGTTTCTGCCCTTAGCTGGCTGAAGAGCATACACTAAGCTGGCTCCTAGAAAGGTTTTTGCAAGAAAAGACAATTTCACCACAGCATCTCCAGCTTTGAAATCATTTCACTTTGTGTATCCCATCATGATGTTCCTTCACTCCAGAAGACCACAACAGGGTCTGGGTTTAACCTGGATGGACTCCTGTCTTCCAAAGCTCAGCCTAATTTCCAGCTCTCAAGAGCACAGTCTTTAAGATATCAAGTTACTYTGAACCACAGACAAGGAAAAACTCTCTGGTTAATTATGAATTYTCCACTTACCATCATCATCATGTCAGGCCCATGGCCATGTCCCGAGGCTGTGGTGGAGGAGTGGTGATGCTCAGGGGGATGTGAGGTTGGCAGCATGGAGCCGTTCATGTGGTGAGACATCTTGAGGGCAGACAGATTCAGAAAGGCACATAGAAAAGTGGGACCCTGCAAAACAAATAAAAAATCAAAAATCTTTTTAAACAGAAAGTGATTTCTCTACTGCTAATGCAAGAGAAAATATTCCAGGCCACTGAGAACTGCTGCCTCTGGAAAACTGCKGAAGGATCCTCATGGTCCTGCTCTGGCTACAGAGAGCACACAGCAGGACAATTTAAAGGAGGTGTGTCCCTCTGCAGCCTAATTTAATTGAGATGGCACCTGGGGAAGAGCACTCAGCATAAAGGAACATTTCTTATCTATATGAGAAAAAAACACAGTCCTTTCTCAACTGCAGTCTTGGAAGAGGCAAAAACATCACAAGCACCACGTTAAATTGCACATACTGAAGGATCAGATTACAAGATTTCTCTTAATTGACAGTTATACATTTTATTGGGAACATGTTTAACACAGAAATTGTGTTAGTTGGTACAAGACCTACTGCCAGGCAAAGGTCTGCAACAGCCACAGGCAATCCAATTTCATTTCCAAGAGCTTTACATTGCCACATCTCCCCTCTAATCACATTACCCACAGTGGTAGAAACACTCAGGAGGCTGCCTGTCCCAATCCCTAATCTGGTTACCACAAATCAGGGATGTCTGGATACACTAAAAAATAAATAAATAAAAATACCCTTCGTGGTTAGCTGTGGGCATGGTTGCTGCACTCTGCCCCACCACTGCCTGGCACCTGGGACAATTGCTGGTGGGAAAGGAATATCATCAGGTAGAAACAGCAACAGGAGAGAAAATAACCTGGGAATACCAGTCAGTCCTGAAAGMACAGCCTCTGTCCTACTGAACCCTGCCTGGAACACTCTGTACCCTCCCAACCAGGACTGCACTATGGTAAAACCAAGTGAAATAAAAACAATTTATCAAATTACCATTTAAAAAAATGAGGAGATATATTTCCTTCCACATAAATCATCGGAAGAGTTTACAAGTGTGTTTTTCCAGTTTTTTAAGTCAAAAGGCAACACGGTGCTTAAACAGGTAGATATGGCTATATTTATATTGGAGAGAGGAAATGAGACTCAAGAAGCACTTTCTAAATTGAAAATAGCAAATAAAAGCCCGAATGGCAGCTGGTGGTGGAGCTGGTTCAGCTGTGACAGTGACCCTGTGCAGGGATCACTGGTGGCCCTGAACACGAATGTCAGTGCAGCCCTGTGGAACATCCATGACAGGGGAATATCCAAAGGCTTTGGGGTTAAATTAAAGAGAGAAATGAGAGAAATTCAAGATTTGGGGAACATAAAGAYACTAAGCACTGCTGGGGACAAACTCAAGAGAAAGAAGTCATACACCCTGCAAACACTGAAATTAAATCCTGCAGGTAAGCACCTGTGACATCAGGAACCCACAGCTCAGGTATGTTCTGTTTCTCTGTTGCAGATGAATTTTGTAGTCCAACTCTTATTGCTTCAGACAACTTCACAATAATCCCCTGGAAAGTAACGTGTCATGGAATCTAAGGGCACTGGCTAAAGCAGAATGAATTCCATGTCCATATTTCTGCCAATAATTTTTAGCTCACTTKGCCCCTGATTTGTGCTTAAATATTGAGACCGGAAAAATGTCCATGGGGAGGAAAAAAGGAGAGAGACCAATGCAAGCAAAAGCTCAGGTGACAGAGAAAAACTTYACCAAGGGATACCTGCAGAATGCCCAGTGTGATTTCCATATGGCACAGCTTGGGAGATTATCCTGTTCCAGAGCTGAAATATTCATGCAGTCCCAAAAAACAAACATTTGGGAAAGGAACTGTCTGCCAAGACACACAAACTTCAAATTGTCTTTTGCCTCAGGGAAGGAAGAATAGCCCAAGTGCTTTACCTCATGAGATCAAAGGTAAGTGTGCTATGAGAGGAAAGACGTAACACAAGAACTTCCCCTCTCTCCCAGCCAAAATCTCCTGGAATCATAGGACCATGGAATGTCCAGAGSTGGAAGGKWYCCACAAGGATCACTGAGTCCAGCYCCTGKCCCTGCMCAGACACCCCAACAACCCCACCCTGTCCATCCCTGGCAGCGCTGTCCAAACGCTCCTGGAGCTCTGGCAGCCTCGGGGCCGGGACCATTCCCTGGGGAGCCTGGGCAGTGCCAGCACCCTCTGGGGACACAAGAACCTTTCCCTCAAATCCAACCTCAACCTGCCCCTCACACAGCTCCAGCTGTTCCCTGGGTCCTGTCSCTGCTCACAGAGAGCAGAGATCAGAGCTGTCCCTCTGTCTGTCTCCTCCCTCTCCTCTCAGCTGACTGATCCACTGCTTTTCCTTTGGACACAACATCCTCTCTAGTGACTACTGTCCAATGACTATTTATTCCTTTTAGGATTTCACACTCCTGCCAGGCTCAGCAGGTTCCAATAGGCTCCACAGAAGCCCTGGCTGGTTACCAGATGAAAAACTGCCATGGCTGGATTGTGTCCAGCATCTCACTCCTTTCCTTCTCACTAATCATCGTTTGTCTGCAGGAAGGCAGAAATAGTAGGGGATATTTACTCTGTAGGAACAAAGAGGTCAGGTGTTCAGGAGTGGCTACCTGTGGCTGGGCAGGCTATGATAGAGATTACAAAGAGCAAGGTTGACCCTCAGCAGTGTAGCTCCTTCCCACCCTGCTACTCCAGTGCTACCACACCAAATCCAACCCCTTGTTGCAGTTACTCAACACTGAAGGACATGTTATGAGATCCTGAAAGGATGAGGTATTAAGTAGGTTAAGAGGAAATAACCTCATCTGAGCCACTTCAGCTGTGTTTTGTATTACTAAAGACAACAAACAGTGGATAAATTTCTATTTTAAAATAAATCAGTTCCAGTGGACAGCCAGACTGATTTACAACTTAGGAGATCTCTATCTATGCCCTGGGATAAAAAACAYTAAGGTAGCAGCAGCAACAGGTTAACGGGTGTGTAATATTCCAAGCTGCAATCCCTGGGTGGTTTGCACAGACTCCTAAGAAACAAACTGACAGATGTGGAGCTCTGCGTGTCACAAGAAAGCGTTGGTTTAACAAGGCTGACTCCATACCTGAAGGAAAAAAATCCTCCCCTCCACCCAACTTTCTATTATTGTAAATTCTTTAAATAGGTTTAACCTCGTACAAGGCCAGCCCTTCAGCAGGTATTTCTGCCTGAATGGGTGACTTGATCCCTGGCTCCAGATGTTTGCACTGAGAGGGAGAGGCATTGGAGTGGACTCCTGAGCATGCCCTAGAGAGGGATCTGCCACAGTCTGTGACTGCACCAGGCTCAACCCTCTTGAATTCAGCAATTTGAACACCTGAAGGGGACAGACCCCAGGGTGTACTTGTCTCAAGGGACACACACACAGAACGATTTTTTTTGTGCTCTGCAGTAACCTACTGCCTAAGAAAACAAACAGGGTGGAACAGGAGAGAGGAATGAGGAAATTCTCTGCAGGGCTTGTTCCTTTCCCTCTCAGTGCTGTTACCCYGGGTGAGAGAAGCCAGAGCCTCCATTTCAAAACCCCTCACATTTTTAAGGAAAACTGTAAAACTCAGATCTACACACAGGACTTTCAGCCACCATCCTGGAGAAGGACTGACCTCAAGCAGGCTCTGTCCTCACAAAGATTTCTGTCCCACCCCTGCAATGCCATCGTGGCAGCTCTGCAAACCAGGCTGGTTCAGGAGCAGGATCTGACAGCAGCAAACAGGCAGCACCAGGACTTACCTTCACCTTCCACCAACACAAAACCAGTGCTGCCTCACCTCCACTGCAAGGAGGCCACATTTGCCACTCCAGGGCACAGAGAAGGGGAGGACAGGCAGGATATGTCAGTGTATACAGGAGGGCAGGTTAACAAGCTGAACCTGGTGAGATGCCAAAATCAGAGCAGTCTTCCCAAGCAGGTCTCAGCCACAAGATCAGTCATTACAYATAACTCACTCCACAGCTTCCCAATATATTGCTTCTGCTGTGKTCATCCAGAGACGTGCAACTTCACAGCAAATCACAAATTTTTCCTGTGGCAAACACCCAAGGAAAATACACCTTCCAATGCAGAAACACAGGACATGCAGAAACAGGACACAYTATGGGAAGGATCTACCAAGCTCCCTCCCAGAAAGTACTTTACAATCAGCTCAGTGTCAAACAGATCTTCCTTAAAGTCACATTCAAAGGGAATTATGCCCCTTTCCAAATCAGACATCTAACAGGATTAATAATGAAGCCCTAAATCAATGCCCAACTTTTACAGCAACAACTTTTCCCTTCTAAATAGTGCCTCATCTTTCCCAACCCAGTTCTGATAACCTAAGAAATAAAACTGATTCCACTGGCTCTGCCCAAAAGGACCAGAGCCTTAAAAATCACCTCTCCAATCTCCTTTAGAGCAATTAATTTGTCCCAGAGATAGGGTACTGCTGCAGACAGGACTGGCTCCTCCTGACTCCTCTGAACACAGCTGGAGTGATTCGTATCCAGGGTGTCTCCACCAGCACTTCTGCTAACAAGAACAGGGTCAGGAGGTCCCTCTCTTCTCCTGAAGAAGTGAGAAAGACCTGGTAACATTTACTAAGAATTAAAATCAAAGTTCCTGAGAGAGAGGCAAGGGAAAATGATTAAAAACAGCAAGCTGGAAAAGCAAAGATCTCTCGCTTACATGTCACATATGGCTCAGTGCTGCATGACACAAAGGAATGATACAGAAAAAAATACAGAATGGAAAAGACACTCAGGAGTTCTGGGTGCTCTACTTACAGCAGTGCCGCTGGCAGACTGAGCTCCACTGGCTCCCAGCTTGTGGTCCCAAGCCCAATCCCTTTTTTGTTTAGCAGCGCTGTAAATGGAGTGGGAGGGAAGCAGCAGCCTGCAGACACTGCAGCTCTGTTCACTGGCTCTAGCTGTGGGCTCCACTGAGCTCGTCATCAGGAGACCTAAGCACTGCTTTTAGTTTATTCAATTTCCTGGCAAACTTTTCTACTTTAACTGCTTCCTTTCCAAATGGGTGGACTTGTGATTCTTCCAGGATCCCAGGCATAGCTCCAGAGCTGCTTAAAGGCACAGCTCAGGGACAGACCAAGTTTACCTGATTATGCTGTAGGAGCACCCAGCAATGGCAGCCAGGCCCCTTGGGCCAAGCTATAAATTCACACTTTAAAGATATATTTTACATTCTTCAGTGATGTAGCCGAACAYGTGTTACAGATACACACTGTTGTTTTCCAGTGTCAAAATTCCCCTTGSTACTCTCCCAAGCAGCTTCAGCAACCCCAGACTGAGACACAGGGAGGAGCGGTGCTGTGCTCAGCACACTTAATTGCACACCTCTGTATTTCCCTTGCACAATTTCCAAAGAAAGAACCCTTAGAGCTATATTAAGAATTCAAGGAATGTTTGTAAGCTCACAGCAGAACTGTGGCTTGCCCTGGTACTTGCCCTCACCATCTTAAAGTCTCATCCTAAAGCTTTTCCCAGAAGTTTAAACTTCCCAAAACCTCAACATACCAGAAGGGAGTTGGATGAAGAGAAGAWGGGCACAGCTCAGGAGCTCCAATACACACTGAGGGTCAGACTGAGTTCAGACTTCCTGGGGTTTGTCCCTGACCATGGAAGCTTTCAAATGGATTTAGGCTGGATCAGCAGAGCCAAGCAGGAACACAGAGTGTTGTGACACAGGGCACATTCTCCCTGTCCACCTTACTGTAAGCAGGAAAGATAYAGATCAGCTATTCACACCCATTGGTTTYAGAACTTCAKAAGGAGGACAGGCACACTGGAGGAYAYCCAGCCTGAGATGCCAGAGGGTGGAGTGCAGGGAGTGAAGAATGACAGGCAAAAAAAAGAGTTGAGCAGGGCTGCAGACAACATCTTGTGTTCAGGCTCTAAAGGGGACAATGCCTGGGCAGCCTGTGACGTGCCAGGATGGAAGGAGGCAGCAGGGACATCAGCAGGGACAGGCAGSCAGGCTGGGAGCACCCAGAGCYCAGCTCTTGGGCAGCTGGAATGCACAACACAGGCACAGAGTGGGCTTCTAAAAATGACTTGCAAGGCTTTCACATTTTATGAGGGGAGAAACCCATCCAGGAGATCTGATCCTCTGCTATCACCTCCAGTGAGGATCCCAGCTGGAACCACTACAGCACATCATGGATGCTGAAGGGAATGACAAAGCACATGAAAAGCACATGTTCTGCTGTCCATGAGCCATGCCCACGATTGATGGTACCTGCCCACGCTGMGACAGACCCTTATTAAGCTGACCTGGACACACCCCATAGGCAGGATGTGGGAGGAGAATGAAGCAAAACCACATCACCCACACAAGGAGGTTTGGGGATGACACTTTAAGCAAGTTGAGCCCAGGTTCTCTGCAGCACAGCCAGATCACAGGGCTGGGGCCAACAAGCACACCCTGCAGTAGGTGCTCCCCCAAACACCCATCCTTCAGGGCTCCTGGCTGCCAATGTTGGCTTCATTTATTCTTACCAAATCCTTGGGTTTCTTTCCCACATTCCCCACTTGTACCAGTACACRTTTGTCCCTCTCATTTCAGGGCTGCTGTGTCCCCAGGGGTCAGGTTGCTCCCTCCACAAGGAACCATCACACAGCATTCACAGACATGGCAAAATCCCYAAACAATGGTCCAGTTTCAGACTATGGATTCCAGTTGGGATGCTGGCTCACACAACCTTCCTGGAGCTGCACAACTTATTTGGCAGCTTAATGCAGTTATATACATCAATTAATGTATMRTTAAGATGAAGATTAAAATAAGTCRATAAAGTATCCTCATAKGTTCAATCCTTAAGGTCYTSTCCACTGCTCTAAAWCAAAGCATCCCTCAACTRTACAACTAAAGCARAGCTGRTCACAGTTGCTCAGCACAATCCCCATTACTTGAGGAGGGGCCAGAGCTCTTCCTCTCAGCATAGCTACAATAATGTCCCTTTGATGGAGTTTATTTTTATAGCAAACTTGTCTGGTCACCTTCTGTTAGAGGCTTCCCTAGAAGGGGATGGTCATTCCTAATCTCCCATCTTCTGCAGATGCCTCAGGAAATCTGTGATCTTTGAACAAGGAAAAAAAATAATCCAGGACAGATTGTTCTTTACAGGACAATGCACTGAACTTCATTAAGTGAAGCACACACCATGTCATTACTCACAGCCCCAATGGAGCAGATGGCAGCTGAAAACAATCCTGCAGTGCAGAAAACCTCAGACTCTAAGCCTGATAACATCAGAGGAAAGGCTGAKAAATGAGCTCTGTACAGGTGGCCAAATAATGGGGAGTTAGGCTAAGCCTCCTTCGTGGTCAAGCGTTTTCCTCAGCCATACTGAAACTACAAAGAGATGGAAAAGCAGTAAATGAATGATACTTCTGAGAATCCTGGCAACACTGAGGAGTCCTTGCCAACCCTCTCGTGGTTGTAGCCTCATTTCTGCCAGAGAAGCCTGACCCAGACCAGGTTCAAGCATCTGGAATGCACAGGGAGCTTTGCATGGAGATCCAAGAGTGATCCTCCACTGTCTCACAAAGGGTCCCCAACTCCAACGAGCTGTGACCAGGCAGTTAGACCAGGTGATTCTTGAAGGTCAATTCCAACTTAACTTTCCCATCCTATTCCTCTTCTATTCAATTCTACCCTACAACAGYCCCTCTGCTTGTGCTGGCCACCTCTCAGCTCCCGCCTCAGCAGCAGGGTAAGATCACTTCCACAATGACCACAGGAACCTTTAGCAAAAGGTGACAGAATGGACACCATCACACCTTGSTTTGTCTCTTTGCCTCACAAATCCCAGGTCAGCAACACAGGGGTAGAAATTCCCCTCATCCACAAAARAATCCCACACACATTCCAGTAAACATCATGTCTTCCTTTGAAAGAAGCACTGCAATTTCAGAGACTGATCCATGCCTCCAACAGTTGGATCAAATCTTGGGGTCACTACCTGCATCTGCTTCCCAGGGCACCCCACTCTTGGCTGGGACACCACCATGGGCAGCATCTCTTCAGCACAGCAGCACAAGCTCCTTGCCTCCTGCAGGGGTGACAATGGTTTGGAAGGTGCACACCAGGCTTTGGGGCCCAGTACAGCAGTGGATACACGTGACTGGATCATTCTCATGCCTTTGCAAATGCAACACAGTCCCTCACCTGCCCAATACAAAACAGTAGGAAGGGCATGACACCAGGAATTCTACCAGGATTGGGTCTGGCAGCTGCTGTGAATGCCACAAGGTGCAGGCCTGCAAAACAGTCTATTTGGCAGATGTTGCTCAGAGCACATCTGTCACAGAAGCCTGGCTCAAGAGAAGTATTTTTGGGACAGATGCTGGAGGCTGTCACGAAGCTGAGGACACTTATCCATACAGGGGACTCTTATCCACACAAAGGACAASCAGGCAGGACACAGCAAACTTGTGTTAGAGGAACAGATGTCAAGAACATCATGAACTGGTGTTTTCTGCAATAACTTGCTCCCACCCTGATAAAACACAAATGGTCAAGCATTTCAACCTGTGTGAGCCCAAATTAACCAGAAGTCCTCAGAGAGGCACTTTGCAAGGATCAGAGCACATTCCACCCCAGCCAGAGACTATAATAAGCCAAGCAAATCCGAAGTGCAGCTCAGGGAACAAAGCCGAGCTCACTTGGYCTGGAGCCACCCACCTGCTCACCAGGAGCAGAAAGCCACGAACAGACATGTCAAGCACAAGCTGTTGTTTTTATTGCCAATAAATGCCAACGAACATTGTATTCATAAAGAGGAGCTGCTACATCAGCAGACAGCAAAGTGGAAGAGAGAGAAGGTGATACCAATTAAAAGGTGATTGACATATGTTCCACAGCTCAGTTTCCCTGTTCATCTCCAAGTGTCACAAAACTTTCCCCTTTTCCTGGTTACTGCTCCAAAAGAACAGCTCCCAGCTCCCACCAGCTCTGCCCACTGGGTACAAACAGTAAGGACATCAATATCCTCTGGGGTGTCAAAGCCAGAGCACATCTGTTCTGCACGAGGCCTCTGACTCCTGCACTCAGGAGCACAATTTTTTCAATTCTGCACCTGAGTTTCACTTCTTCCACCGCAAGTCTTCTGGATTCTGTATTTGCCCCACACTGTTCATTGTTCCYCTTTCTGTCTGGGGGAATAAGGCAGTTATCCCGCTTTCTGACACACAAGAGCACAGAAGTTTCTGGAAAGCGTCAGAATTGAGGCGCCACAGGACATGCAAGACCTGAGGAGTGACTGCCATTCCCACAGCTCCCAAAGCAGAGGAGATGCTGTACCAAAGCTGGCTCATGATTCTCTCATCTGGAGAGAACAGCAGGGCTTTGGAGATCCCAAAACTGACACAGGATGCCATGTTACAATTTCTTTATGAAACATCCAGGATAAAAGCCATAGCAGACATCAAAATTCCTTGTAGCCAATGCCAGCATGAATTCAGAGCTAGAACTGACAAGTTTCCATCAAAGGAGCCATCTACAGAAGCACTTCAGCACTCCCTTTGCCTTGTGAAGCAAACCAGGTTTGCAGACCAGCAGGCCACACTATCAGAGCTTCACTTCTCTTCCTCACATCCTCAAGGGCATGACACAGGAACACAGTAACACAAATCCAGGTCACAAAGTCCCCAGGATTCAGCACTCCGGGAGGAAAAACCTGAGGGCCTTCTCTTCCTGGCAGGAAGGGAGGACATTTAAGCACAGATTAGGCAGAATGGCTCAAAGGCCAGTGGTGTAAGAGGTTGTGCTGCAATGGAGAGTGGGCAGTGCTCAGTCAGGAATCATCGGGGAAGCCCCCACTAGAAATTCCCAGCACTCACTCATCAGCTGAGGACAACCGAGGATCCTGAGCAGTGCTGAGACACAGGACAGCACCAGGAAGAGGAGACAGAAAAGCAGGGCCACATAACACGTATTTTCCAAGATTACA